GAATCACCTGGGGGAACTTGTCAAACACTCTTTGTACCAAATTCTTCCCTGTGCCACTAAATCATAATGTCTCAAGTTGGAATTAAGGATCATTGTAAAGCTCCTTGGGGGATTCCAGTGTGCAGGAAAGTTTGGGAACTACTGATCCAGAGAATACTATATAGGAAAAGAATTGCTTCTGACTATTTGGTGGGATTTTGGACAAGCTTTAGTTCCCTTATCTGTAACAGTTGGTTGTTAGATGAAATTTCAAATAAGTTTTGGTGAACCTTTTCAATGTTTGATGGTCAGTCTGTGATTAAACTCAATTTGGAGATAACCTGTTTGAAATACTATAAAAATGTGCATCCCTGATGCATATGATGTGAGACTTTAAATTTTAAACACATTCTGGACTTCTTTTAAAATTCAGTTTGTCTTCCCTTGATGATGTTAAGCTTCCTTTTAAACAATGAGAGCAAATCAAAGCATATAACTCACTCAAGGGAATCCCTTTGTACCCTAATAAACAGTACCTATGCTTAATTTAGCGATACAGCAACATATTATCTGAAGGGTTGTGTCGGCATATTAATACTTTATTTAAACTAATTTGGAAATATTTCCCATGAATATTGTACTGTACAGATGTAGGCTGCATTACTATCACTGATTTTTTAGCACAAAAGAAGTATTATCACTTTGGTGGCCACTTGTATTTACTACAAAATTTTTTCTTGCCCTGGAGGAATGATTTTCATTTTGCTATACAGCACTTTTATAATTTACTTTCAGAGAAATAATGAAAATTATGGGCAGGTGAATAATGAATAAGTCAAGTAAAATAAATGCACGGGCTTCAAAGTTTTAAAAAAATATTATGTGGTTTAGTTTTAAGTATATGGGCAGATATGTAGAATTTGTCCAGGGAAAGAGGTTATATGGGTAGAAACACAAATGACAGAGAAAAACATAATAATGGACATTTAAAAGAAGATGTCCTGATGTCACATTGCATAATATTTGACATCTGTCTACTATAAGCAAGTTGAATGAAACAGGGGCAAGTGCCCATATGATACTGTTCTGAAACTGGAAGACAAGTCTATGGGAAGTTTGCCCTTGCAAATTTGTCTTCAATTTCACCAATAAACTTGGTTATTACATATATTTTTTTCCTTCCCACAGTATGACGTTGGCAGTATATTACCACATAAAATACAGGTGAGCTCTTAAAAACCTGCCTTATACTTCAACTTAATTTACAGAATACCTATATATTGTCAGGCCCTGGCTGCAAACATCAGAGGTTGTACTGTGCTTTTAGTAATAGATGGAAGCAAGTCATTTCAGGTTTCTTGTTATTGTAATTAGGTCTGTTGAAAAATATTCTCTTAAAGATCACAAAGGATATTTGCTTCCATAGATTATTTTGATGTGTTCTGTTTAGAAACTAAAACAGAGTTAAATGCATATGTGTTTGTGTGTGCCTGTGTGTGCGCAGGCAGGAGGTGTTAACAGCATTTCTTGATCGTGGATCTACTGACATTTTAAGCCAGGTACTGTTTGTTGTGGGGGCTGTCCTATGCAGTGCAGGATGTGTTACAGGACTGCTGTCCTCTGCCTAGTAGATGCCAGTCGCTTTCTCCCTCATCTTGTCTACTGTTGGACAAGATCACTCCCATTAAAAACCACATTGTTAACACACATAACAAAAATAACTATCTTTTATAACTCTTTGACATTTCTGTTCCCTTTCTACATTGGGCGAAAAATGTATCTCTATTTACACTGATGTACAAGTCCTCATGTGACTGAATAGAACACAATTAAATTCACCTTTTTCTTGATTCATTGACAGTTCTTTTGTAAGAAACAATCAGAAGAATAACCAATCACATAGTTGTATATCTTTGGACATAAATATGTTTTTAAAATAGAGATCATTATGGATAGTCTTTTACTTTACCTCAAACACTGCAACCATTAGTTTCTTAAGTTAGGTATAATGGAATTTTACATGGTGTCTCTGAAATTGCTACAAAATAACACTTAATGGTGTGTCTTTCACAGTGAGCAATTCTTTTATCAGTACATGATTAATAATAAACTTCAGTGAGCTTTGAAATTACCAGTTCAGATTTTTTACAACATCCAGAACACTTTTGTTATTATCATCACCAGTGTAAGCAAAAAGTCTTGGAGATACTGAGAGTCTGTCATAGGAAGATTTGAAGGTATACATCTCCCATAAATCTCAAAGTTTTAGATTCACTGCTTGAATTTGACATTGGCAACAACTATTTCTTCACATATCTTGTTTCATGTAAAAGTAAAGTTCTATGATAAAAAGACTGTCAAACTCACAACTAAATCAGAAGTGAATTTCTGAGAACATACTTCAGTATGCAGAAATGCTTTATGTGAACTTTTCATTTATTCATAATACCAAAAAGATGATCCAAGATTTACCAACATTATTCTTTGCTGTTTCATCATGGGCAATTATAAAAAGTTTTTAAACAAAACTGCAAGGGACAATGAAAAATACAATGACCTCTGATGTAACGTGGTGCCATAGGCTTGGTTCACATTAAGAAATTGCAAGTTTTGCTTTTGCCTTTATACGAGCATAACAAGTGACCAACAGTCAAAAAATCAGTAATTTCTTCATGATTGTAAGAGCAGTCTGAGCTCTTGAGCCTCCTGAAAATGAGACTGAGGAATCTCCAGAGGTCCAGAGACCACAGCAAACCACTGATTTATAGGAACACAGTATAGTACTTTAATGAAAATACTGGTCTCCTATACAAAAGCTGCTACATTTTTAACACAACAGAAACACAAATGCATGATGAAAATATAGAGGACTGAAGAAAAGAAAACTTTAGAGATCTAAATCTCATTCGCATTTACTACACTTCTAGGTTTGAATACCTAGCACTGCTGGTTTACTAGCATTGCCTGTAAGGAAGTGTCATTACTTATATGCAACTTAGCCTGGTTATCTTAGAAAAGTCTTCACAGTACTTGATGCACTAAACAAAGAGATGTCTTAAGGTCAAAATTAAGGAGAAGAATTTGTAAAGCTGTTAGATATGTTGAAGGTTAGGCCTCCTCCTCCAGGGTCCCCTACCCTTACCAGGTACTTAACTAAGATATAAATGATTTAGATGAACTTTTCTTTGCAGAGATGCAAATAGATCCCTGGATATTTTTGATGAGAGACTGCATCCACTCACAGTAAGTGTCAGTATTACAAGATCATCATTTTTTACCTAATCATTTCTTTGATGCTTTTTCTTTTGATATTAAGTGCAGAAATAAATCACACACTTCTATTTGAATTTAAATCATGTGCTTTTCAACCTCATGTTGAAAAGAACTGTTCTTTAGGGTTACAATACGGGCAAAAGTGGCTTAAAGCTCTATTACTGAACTAAAGTGAATAAATGTACTAATCCAACATCAGAAAATGTAGGTTTTCAAAAACAGTTTTCAGTACAATCTGATATACACATTAATGAATAGGTGAAATCTCTGAGGAAAGAGTTAGTTAAAACTATATTTAAAAACAGTGGGATATATTATAGTAACATTTTTGTTTTCCTATTAACCTCTCTTGAGCACCTGTATTGCTCTCCCATTCTGGTCTGACTTATTTTACTCTATTCAGTTTTGCTTGATAGTATCAAGTTTGAGGGTATATGCCACCACTTTGAAGACAATAAGATTTACTATGATGGCCATTATGGATTCACTATTAACTACTTTTGAAGTCCTGTAAGGTCTCCAGTGTAGGTTTTATTGGTCTTGTTCTGTACTGTTTTGCTCAATTTTATTATACCTGATGATATACACAACTCTTTATAAGATACCAAGAGGCATAATGGTAACCATTGTTGATCACCTGGTATTCTGTTTTTGCATCACGTACTAAGTCCATCCTTCTGTTCTAACTAACTCTGTTTTATTTTGTCACATTTGTTCTTTTTTTTTTTTTTTGCTTCAAAAAATAGTTGTAAGATCTGTGGGAGTAATAAATCTCAAAAAGTGTAATTGTTGCAAAAAAAGACAGGAAAAGAAAGTGATCTAAAGGATATAACTGCATGTATATTTAAGTGTGCAGGATAGAAAACCTTATTACTGAGTTTTTGTTGGACCATTGAAGAGAACTATCTGCAATCTCACTGTATGAATTTCCACTTTGTATCCTTTACTTTTGTAACTTGGACAATTGTTTCTAAGAAGAAAATATGTAATCTATTAACTAGTGATTTCTTACTGCATATATTTGTCCAGAAATTCTGTATTACTTGTACCCTTTACTGCTTTGATTTGTTTTGTTTTGTTTTCTCTTTTAATAAAATAATAATAAGAATTTTCAATAGAATCTGATATACACATTACTGGATAGGTGATATATCTGAGGAAAGAGTTAGGTTTGAATGATGTAAAATTTAAAGTCAGTTTCTCAGGCATATTATCACTTTTCACTGCTCAGCTGTCATCTGGCTGCTGACTTGCAGAAGAGGGTGTGGCTGCAGGACAATAATTATATATTTTAGACTTCAGGCCCTGTACAAAGTAATACAACATAGAATTTAGAAGACTTTAAGGCTATAAATGAACCTTAGAATGCTGTTAATCACAGTAGAAAGAAATATTGATTTTTCTGACCTTGCACACTTCTCTTCTTCTTACTAATGGAGTACATTTTGAGAGATGTATTGATAAGTGATCCAATCTTGTGCAAACATCAGAGTGTGCTTACACAACAAAGATGACTCTGGTGCACCATGTGGTCATTATGGGGCTGCTGTTGAATATGTGATCCTCACTGACCAAAGCATCACTGGGCAAAGTAAAAGATCCCAGTGTCTCTAGGAGAAGATGAAATGACATACAAGCCAGGGGAAATTATTTTAAGGAACATGTGAACATAAGGTGAAGGTTGCTGTCTTAAGAATATTTAAACCTTTCTTCAGTTCATACTTGCATTGCATCATTTCTCCTTTCAGGAAGAGAAGCTTCCAGAGGACTACTTTCAGCATGACCCTGAACATGAATGTATTTACAGATTTGTTGCTATTATTTTTAATGCCATATGGATACCAACTGAATGCGCAATAATGACTTTGGTAAGTTGTTTCTTCTTCATGAAACATGCTTAGCAAATGGTCTTGTACACAAAAAAGTTCACTTTGCTCAAGTTAGATTCCTTAAATTATCATGAGAACTTTACTGAGACCAGCCTTTGTTACATTTCTTTCATTGCTGAGACAAAATAAAGGGCACCCAAAGTACAAAGGGGAAAAGTTCATTTAGCTCACAATTTGTAGTGATTTAGTCCATAATGTACTGGCTCCAAAGTTCAGTGGAACATAGCATAAGAGCAATAGCCCATGTCAGTGGAAGAAAGCAAAAGTAATAAGAGAAATAGGGAGAGTCAAGCTTCTTTCTGTTCCTTACACTTTATAGCGCCTAGTGGAATTAGGGCAGTGCCAATCCAACCAATAATCTGACCCAGCAATCACACACCCTTAATCCCAGCATTGCATAATCTAGATTTGCCCTTCTCTAAAAGGGTCCTCTGAGTGCCCATGGCTTTGGGTGGACATCTAGACACAAACCATAAAAAAGCCTATGAAAAGAAAGTAAATGTACTTGGGTTCCCTAGGCATTATCATTTAAAATGGTGTCTTTAATTTTCTCATCACAAAACAATTGCAATTAAAGGAAGCTGAAGAGTTTTCCCCACACACATCAGTACACACAGAGTTGACACGTGAACACATACACATGCTGTGGGGTGGGAAGGAGAGCATTAACAGGACCATAGGAGACACAGACACTGATTTGAGGCTGATCAAAACAGGACCCAGGCTGTGTTTCAGGCAATTCACTGCCTTCAGTTCTCTAGTCTTTGGGGTATGGGTATCAACCCATCCCAGTTGACAGCTTCTGTCTATTCATGAAGTTGCCCAGGATGACAGTACCAGTAGTTCTTTAAAAAGCATTGTTATCATGATACACTGTAGCTGTGTCCTCATATTTGTGTTATCCACACAGAAGTTGGAAGGTGGGATTTTATCATCTTCAATAGTGGTGAAATGGTTGAGATTGTTCTAGTCCTTCCTCTACCAAATGCATAGTGGAAAGTCATATACATAGCCTGAAGACAAAAATCACTCAAGACAGCAGCTGCTCTGATGGCATTTAGTCATGCCCTGTGTTGAAACAGAAACCCGTCAGGAACATTTCCATTTGTAGAGATAGATAGCACAGCAAGCAGAGCTGGGTTGGAGGTGGAAGTGTCCATGTAAACAAGGTAAGCTTGATGCTCCTTGAAATAACTGGGGCATATCTTCATATCTTTTGGATGTATGGGTACAGGCACAGAAATGTGACTAAGAAGTAAAGAAATGTGGCTGTTCAAATATACAGAATGAATTCATTGAAATGTGGGCAGGAGTCCTTAGCAGTTAAAGGAAAAGTTTCCAAAGGAGTAGCCAGAGCAATGGGAGAAAGGGGAAAAGAAAACTCAAGGCGAGAGATGGTGTGGTCAGAGTGATAAATTAGGCCAAGAAATTGCACTGACACTCACTGATACTCACTGATACTTATGCTGGGGAAGAACAAAGAGACAGAGCAAAATTCTTGCTGTTTGTGAGCTCATGATCTAGTAAAAAAGTCATGGGATATTTTTCAGGTATGTGAATATCTCACCTTGCAGTAAATGTCAAGAAGACAGAGCATTGTAAGAGGCTGAAGCTTTCAGAGGTTTCAGTTTTAGGCAGAGTGGCCAGGAAGAGCTTGCTTCAGAGTGGTGACACTTGAAGTACAATCTGACTGGAGCAGGGAAGGCAAGGTGCTCCTGCATTACATTCAAGAGGGTAAGATGCAGGCCCCCAGTTCAGGAACATGTTTCATATGCTCAAGCAAGAACAGGGTGACTAGCATGCTGTGGGTAAGGATCACCCTCTCAGGGTCACACATCATTTGCAAAGCATGGGAGTTTGATTGGTATCATTTGGCAGATATTGATCTACCCATGAATTGCCCCTTACATGTCAGGGCTTTCCAGACTGTCTTGGGGAAAGTAAACTGCAGGTGGGGTTTGGGTTAGAGTCAGAGAAGGAGGGTTAGGAAGCAACATGGTGATGCAGATGACCACAGACAAATGCAAGCTCAGGACAGAAAGCTTTCATGTTACCAATGGAAGTAGAGATAACAGAAAGTATGCATAGATTGGTGTGGAATATGTCAAAGTATAAATTTTATTCATAGTACTAGACAAGGAGCAATGCTGCTTACATATTAGGGAGGGTTGGAGAGTGGAGTGTTAGGATGCATAACTGGTGTGTAAGTTTGCATGCCACAATCGGATTGGCAAGACTGTTCCAGAAGAGTGCAGTGATAGGGGACTTCCGGGAGAACATGGCGGACAGATAACAGCAACTACCGGAGGCTCTATGAAAGACTCGGCTCAGAAGCCAAGAATGGTGCGGACTAAGGAGACATAAGCAGGTGGAGATATGCTCTGCTGACTCAGGAACCAACTGGGCTGAGAGAAACCAACTTGGAATGCAGTCCTGGTGCTAAAACATGAAGAGAAAAGCCTTGGTGTGGAGGCTGGACCCCACGCCATTGTAAGCCGCGATTTGGGTTTCCCGCCGCGCAGCAGCTGGCTGCCTCTACAGTGGCTCGGCAAGGAGAGAGACGTGCAGAAGCTCTGAGAACGGCAATCTGCGAATGGCAGGGAGGCGTGCACTGACTTGTGGTGAGGTGAGTGAGAGAAACTGACACTCTACCACAGTTTGACTCCAGCAAAGGACTTTCTGGGCCTGAGAAGTCCTGCGGGAGCAGGGCGCTGTGGCGACTCCAGCCACACATCCCCCTCTCGGGCGGGATTGGTGAAAAGTGCCTGGCCTGCGTGATGCTGCCGGCGGACCTGGTAGGCTGTCCCAACCCAGATCCCAGAGCCTGACGGTGGCCGGGAGGGGAGATGCATAGGCTGCCTGGTCCGTAACTCCCTGGTGCGCAGCGGTGAGCGGGAACACCTAACTGGCGCAATTCGATCAGGCTGTGGCTGACTGGGAGAGAAGCTGGGCCTCTTATATAAGCTTGCATATATAAGGAACCGAGAAGAAGTGGCAGCATGGGAAAAGGCAGCAACAAGAAAGGCTCCTCGGCCCCCAATTCTGAGAAACAGGCAATAGCAGACACCGCACCAATATACATAAGGCACCATATAGAGAGCCTCATAGACCAATTCAGGAATGAAGTTATCAACGACCTGAAGCTAGAAGTAGGCAGAATAGTTAGAGAAATGCTAAGTACCACCCAAGAAAAAACAGGTGGTGGAATGGAAGAACAGAAAAAAAGGGGAGAATTGTTTGATGGAGAAAACAGAGAAAGCATAGAATACATGAAGCAGGTTCAAAGGCACTACCAAGATACTAAGAAGTCTATAGAAGACTGGCATAACAGCTTGAAAGAAACTAAGGACAGACTATCTGAACTGGAGGGCAGACTTGTAATATGGGAGAATGAAATGAAAAACTTCTTAAAAATAACAAAGAAACAAACAGCAATAATACAAAGACAAGAAGATGATAAGAGGATCCATAACTTAAGGATTAAGAACATAAAAGAAGAAGTAGGGACACAAACAAGTGAACTACAAAAGCTACTCACAGAAATAATCCAGGAGAATTTTCCTAATTTAGCAAAAGGTAAAGATACTCAGATGTATGAGGCATACAGGACCCCAGCTACCTACAACCCAAACAGAGCAACACCCAGGCATATAATAATAAAAATTCCAGAAATTCAATACAAGAACAGAATATTAAAAGCTGTAAGAGACAAGAAACAGACCACTTACAAGGGAACACCCATCAGAATTACAGCAGATTTCTCTGCACAAACCATTAAATCACGAAGAGCGTGGGGGGAAATAATTCAAGCTTTGAAAGATAATAATCTCCAGCCAAGATTGAGATATCCTGCACAACTGTCCCTGGAAATTGATGGAAAAACAAGGTGCTTCCAGGATAAAGAGGAACTGGGGGAATTTGCAACCACCAATTCAACTCTAAAGAGAGTATTGCAGGATATTCTAAAAAAAGAAAAATACAAAGAATCCAGAAATAATAGCAGAGAGGCCACAACGAATGGAGCAGAGAACAAAATGAAGAAGACAAACTGACAGCTACTGACAGAAAAAGAGCTCAACAGAAATGAGACAGAGAAGATTGGATGATAGGAACAGCTATTTTGGAGACAATGACATCTTAATAGGTAATACTGATTTAGTATCATCTTGTTTTGAAGTCTCATCTAGCTTTTGTCCTTCTGTCTCCAATGGTTTAAATAGGCTGGATCTTATTGGATTTTATTATGTACGATAGTATAAGCAAAAAGCTTTTAAAGACAAGGAGATTATACAGAAACCATTGTTCATTTTCTGTTAGTCGATTCTAAATACTCTGTAATGCTGTCATTCTCTTGAATGGTTTTACATTGTTTTGATATACTTAATGCTACAGTATACGAAGTTGTACTCAAGGATTTCAAGGAAAGAGACAATATGGTAACTACTTTTAGGTTAGGATTATCTGGTGGTGAAACACTATTCTGCTTAAATGGTTATGTTTTGATCTGCGCTGTTTCGTTGTTATGCCCTCTTTTATCTCAATCTCCACTCCATTATTTACTTTTTTATCTTTATCCTTTTAATTAAAGGAAAAAATAGCAGGATATATTATAGTAACCCACTTTGACTTTTCATTACCTTGATTTAAAGCCCTGTATTACTCTCACCATCTTGTTTTTGACTGATGTTCCCCTATTCTGTTTTGCTGGATAGTATCAGGTTCGAAAGTTTAGGCATCAGCTGTAAAGATAATGAGATTCATTATGACGCCCATTCTTGTTGACTTTTATCTACTTTTGAAGACCTACAATGTCTCCAATGTTTTGGTTTTGTCGGTTTTATTCTTTACTGTTTTGTTCAATTGTATTATAACTAACGATATAGGCAATTCTATTAGAGATAGTGCGAGGCATTATGGTAACCATTGTTGATCACCTTGTATTATGTATTTACATTATCTATTATGTCCACCCTTTTGACTTGACCGATTCTGTTCTGTTATGTCACATTTGGTTTTACTCTCTTCCAAAAAAGTAATAAGAACCGTGGGAGCAATGAAACCCAAAATGTGTAATAGTCATGGTACAAAAGAGAGGAAAAGAAAGTGCTCCAAACTATATAACTGCATGTATATTTAAGTGTATAAGATAGAAAATGATATCACAGAGTTTTATTGGATCAATGAACGGAACTGTTTGCAGTATCATTGATGGAATGTCCACTTTACAAGCTTTAATTTTGTGACTTGAACAATTATTTCTAAGATGACAATATGTAATCCATTAACTAGTGATTTCCTACTGTTCATTTTTTTTTCTGTAAATCTGTATAACTTGTACCCTTTCCCTGCTTTTTTTTTCTTTTCCCCTTAAATAAAATTTAAAAAAAAAAGAGTGCAGTGATACAGGGAAAAATGGTTAAAGGAAAAAAGGGGAAACGAGGGATATGCATAGGCATAATACAGTGAGCCAGGTGATAGGTAGCAGTTCTGGAGTTTCAGCAAGGGAGATGAGAGCAATGTAAACCACCCGTTGGGGGGGGGCATTTGACCTGTAAAGTCTTGGTAATTAATGTCCAGCAGAAGTGGGATGGGGCAATACTGATGGAAAAGTTTGCCTTGTTTGAAAGTAAAGAACAGTGGTCCACTCACATAACAGGCAAGTGGTACAAATGAATACTAACCCAAAACAAAGCCATGGAAAAGATGAACAGGGGTTGAGGATGACCAGCATTCTTTCATTATCTCACATCATTTATATACAGAAGAACTGCATCCTGGAACACAGTATCATATTTAGAATAGCTAAGGGAGCAGGTATTGGAGAATGAATACAGTCAAGGTTTAAGAATATTGCCTAATATGGACTGCTAGACAACAGCTTACAGATTGTAACTATATTCTTAAAAGTGAGCCTTTTTCCTTTTAGTCATGATAGAAAGAGTTAAAATAGCATATCCAGTCCATGAGCTCTGCTTCTAAAATTTCACCATTTGGGGAAATTTTATGGCCTTCTTTTTCCTTGTCCTTAATCCTTGAATTTTTTTTAGTGTAATACCCTAGAAATGATTTCAAGTATACAAGGATGTGCATAGGTACATGTGCAAATCTTAAACTTTCTATCTAGGAGATTTGAGCATCAGGAAACTTTTGTATTGATCAGATTTAAGGAACAGTAAGCAGCTTCCTCTGTAATCCTTACTCAGCAATTTGCTCACCTAGTTCTTTGTAGAACAGATGTTAGATATATGTAAACAGTGCCTGAGGTCATGTCATGAACTTCCTAGAACTTTAGGGGTCTCAGCGTTACAGGCTGGCAGCTGTTCTTCTCATCATAAAGCCAAAGCATTGAATAAGTTGCTAATTATGTAGGAAGGAAAATGGATATTCATGAATAGTGGAAATATGAAAAAGGGCTCTAAGAAGGACCATCTTGTTTTACTTGTGGCTTCATTATAAAGGTACTGCATTTCAGAAAAACTTCATAGCTGTAAATCTTGCACCTCTCATGCTGTTCTGTTCATCAGCCATGGGTAGGTGCTTTTGTCCATCAGTTATTGCCACAAAAGTCTTAATACTATGAAAAGATGAAATGTTCTCACTGTGAGTTAGGTATCACAGCTGACTACAACATGTCTAAATCCATTTTATATCTACCACCTGTATGTTATATTGCATGTTGGTGGCACTTGGTATTTACTGAACAAATTTACACCTGTGCCCTTCACGAATGTGGAGGTGATAGCAATACTACCTGCTGGATGACTTTTGTTGCAATGTCTAGGCATTCCAATCAAAAAGCTGTGTAGGAAATTTACATGGGCAGTAGACTTGTCTGATTTACAGCTGTGACCTGACATCTTGCTTTAGCTGAGCACAATCTCTCAGTCCCACTTCCCTTTCTCATCACAGAATAAACATCATGTACAACAGTTCTTAGCAAAGCACTTCAACAGAGCTAAAATGAAAAAGCGGTGCTCTACTCTACTCTTTGCAGGTTTACTTAGAAAGGTTGATGTCATATGCTAAGATTGACCTCTGTCCTACCAACTGGAAAAGGATTGTCTTGGGAGCCATTCTTCTTGCCTTCAAGGTTTGGCATGATAAGGCTGTGTGGAACATACACTTCTGCCAGATCCTCAAGAACCTTGCACTCCAAGACATGTGAGTTTAAAAGGTTTTGGTGACTTTTCTATCCATGTACCAGTTCACTTGTTCCCTTAAGGCATGCATTTTAAGAAATATTTTAAATATTACATTATATAGAAAATAAAAATGAGCTTAAAACTATTAAACCCTGTCAATCTACAGTATAGAGATTCATATTTTCCATCATTAATTTGTTTTAATGGATTATTATTGTAATGGTATGCTTCATAAGGTGTAATTTTTTCTGGAGGTTGCAGACAAGTATTTTATAGCCTTACCAGCAGTATAACATATTACTGTGTTTATCTTCATGGCTTTTTAACAGCTTTCAGCGCCATTCCCTTCTTTAGGGGCTACCATGTCTGACTTTTGAAATAAATGTTTGATCACTGTTATATCCTTGGGGCTATAGGTTTAGTCTGAGTCACAAGTAGTACCTTTGCTTTAGCTGGTCTTTACAACAGAATTTATTACAGACTCCTGTGCCTGCCTACCCCTTATTAGGAGTGTTGTATGTGGGTAGAAATCAGTCTGATGGGCTCTGATTTTTTGTGTATAGAAGGTGCAAAGGCAGCTGCATAGACACATAGCACAGGGCTGTTCCTAGTCATTTCTCTTTCCACTGCACTGAACTCATGCATGTGTGTGCATGTGCATGTGCATGTGTATGTGCTTGTGCACGTGTGAGTAATAAAACCCAAAGTGTGTAATTGTAATTGTAAAAAAGTGAGGGAAAGAAAGTGCTCTAAAGGATATAACTGAAAGTGTGTTTAGGAGTGTAAGATAAAGTTTTGTTGGATCACTGAACACAACTGTTTGCAGTCTCACTGTTTGAATGTCCACTTTGTATGCTTTAATTTTGAAACTTGAACAACTATTTCTAATATGACTTTATGTAATCTATTAACTAGTGATTTCTTACTGTTTCTTTTTTTCAAATTCTGTATTACTTGTACCCTTTTACTGTTCTGTTTTTCTTTAAATAAAAATTTTTAATAGAATTTACAGCAGTCCTTAGAAGCGCAAAATGACATTTTCGAAGATAGTCTACTGATCAAAATTGTCTGATGTTCATTTTTCTGTGTTCTTCCTCCACAGAAATCAACTGGAAAGGCATTACTTGTGTCTGCTTGAGTTTAATGTTAATGTGTCTGCGAGCACTTATGCCAAATACTACTTTGATCTTCGCTCTTTAGCAGATCACAGCAACATGTACTTTGTGTCTGCACCTCTCACCAAAGAAAGAGCACAGAAACTAGAAGTAAGGCTGTGCCTTCACTAAATAGGGTGTTCTGTGAGCCACTAATGCCAGCATCTGTGGCTATATCATATAAAGTAGTTAAGGAAAATGGCAGGTTTTGAAATTAACACTTTCAAGAGTTTACTAAACCTTTAGTGTGTGTCATATGTGTTAGTTCTTAATGGTTCAGATAGAGATCCACATTATTATTTAAAAGCAGTTCTAATTTCTTTGATCATAATTCAGAATATTTTAATCAGCATTATTCTGATCAAAATGGTTTTCCTTTTGAACCGCTACCTTTCTCCATAGCCACACATGATTAAGTACCTGGGCTTGTTTTCTTTACCATGTATACAAATACTGTTCACTTAATTACTTGTGCTTATTTTTTACTCAATTTTAAAATTCATATCAGAACTCAGCTGTCCTACTTCAAGACCAAGGATTCAGTAGATAGATTCTTAGTGGCTAACATGACAGCCAATATGTAAGATATGTGATGTGCATGTGGAAATTGGAAGTACATGAGTTTTAAAGGGAAGTGGCAGCTTACATAGGCAAAATAATGCACATGGTTTGTGACTTTTGGTGATCCTCCACCAAAACAATTGATACCTGAAAAAGATGCTTACATTCAAATGGTACTTTCTGTAGTGTGTCGGTGGCACAGCAAGTCCCCAAGTTACAAATATTTTATTTGCAGGTTTAAGCAGATTATGATGATTATTTCACTGGTGATTGCCTTTTCAGTGCTTTACATTGTATATTTGTGTCCAATGACTATGAGATTAATTTTGTTGGACTCACAAATAAATCTGACTCAGGAATGTTCTCCCAGAACAGAACTCATTCTTAAACTGAGGACTTATCCAATTTGGAATATGTATTTTGCTCCTACAACTCATGTTAATTTGAAGAAGCATCCTTTGGTGCTACAGAACTGTCCTGCTCTACATTAAATTCATACCACCTTCCAAGGAAATACCTTAGAGTTTGGAAACTAATAATGGTCAGATAGCATTGGAATAGCTCTGTCAGTATTTACTGATTGTTTTTGCACATATGTAGCTTTATCATTTTTAATATAGTTACACGATAAAAAATGCTGTTAGTAGCTTATCGTATCACCAAATTTTGTCGGCTTTGGAAACTCCATTTGTAAAGACTGTAACTGAACAAACTTCCCCTTACTTGGTAATTGAATCATCATTAAAGAATGTTAGTGAATTGGCAGGAAGTAGCAGCCTCTTAACCTGGAAGTGCAGGTCTCAAACACCCAAAGCATCAGTGACCATGAAGTAGCTAAAGTAAGTTTGTATGACTAAACTTCTGTGATTATTTTTCTTTAAGGTTTCTGTCTTTTAAAAATTTTACCTGTATTCCTTTTGATGAACTTTCCTAGGCGATGTCAAGATACTGTGAGGATGGAGGCTTGTACAGAGGTGAAATCAGAAAATCTTCCAGTGATGACAGCTTCACTGGAATTCGACTCTCTAAAGCCATCCTGTCCTAAAAGAGAGAGATGACATCTTAGACCCTCATTTACACAAGATGGACCACCTGTCTTGTAAAAAAAATCCAAAGTGAACATTTTGCCAAAAGGAAAGACCTTGAATTTCAGAAACTGTTGGACAGTTATAGTTGTATTATATGGGAAGAGACCTTGTGAAAGCAGCAACACACTTCCTTTCTTCATTCATGTGAGCAGAGTTAGTAGTAGTACAAAGCAGAAGCTCCTGGATGACACAACCATTCGCTTACTTCACAGGCCAGTGCCTGTGAACTCTGCAAGGTTTTTGGATTAAGAGTATACATTTAAGCTAGTTTAAAGTTGTAATAAATTTTTAAGGTAGATTTTTAAAAATAGTATTTGTATACTTTTCATGTCCCCTGCCACTATATAGCTTTGTAGACTTTTAGGATTATCGTAGTATTACTGTTAAAAAATGGGGAACCTTTTGTATTACATGGTGCTGAGAGAAAAATCCACATTCCTATCCATGTCTCAGGTAGTATGTCTATTACTGAGTCATTCAACCAGCCCCAAAATAGGAGTATTCACACTCATGAAATCATTTAGGAGTACACTACCACTTCATCAGTATTGAAGATTCTTCCTTCCTGTGGTATCACTGAGTTCCTAGGCAGTCATGTCAGCAATTTTACACAAAAAATCAGCCGGAGCGCACTTGCCACTCAGGTTCTTTACAAGCACTACTTAGCAGCCTCATGCCATACCATGTCTGTGGCCATAAAGAAAAATCATCTGCTATTGGCTATCTACTTTTATCGGGTTCATACAGAATCTTATGAGTTAAAAATGGTGCTGATAATTTTTTGATGATTTCCCTTTGTTAAGTAAACATGTCCGAAGATATTTCTATAATGCGAACCAATATGATGGTTCAATAATCACTACAGATAGTAAAGTACAAGGCATCCCAAAAGTTTCAGAGTAGTTTTAAGCCTTTGGCTACTATGTTTGTGCCTTTAAGGGCACTGGAGTAGGTAAAAAAGCTGCAAACTTAAAAATCCTTATTGGAACATTTCAGTTTGGTGAGTTTAGAATATTATTCATTTATTCTAAACTTTTTCTAGTCTCTTAAAAAAGGATAGAAAGCAGAACTGGAACAAAAGTTAAAAGCTTAATTTTCACATTTCCCAAATTATTCCAGATAATATATGATATGATATATCATATATTACAGATAATATATGATAATGTTTAAAATTCTGTATTTATACATGGTACCAAAGCTTAAAATGACACTAAGATTTTTGGGATGTTTTATATTGCAAAGAGTTTCCCTCTTGTTTGTGAGGAGTTCTTTAAGAGCCATGCACTATCTCTATTTTGAGTATCTAAATTTCTTGGTTCTTGATTTGGTGAAGGAGGGTATTAATATTAATAGCAATATTAATTGGCATGTTTTATAAAGGAATTGGACACCAACAGCAGCACTTGATATGAAAGTTTATTTTGAAACCTATCTTAAATGTTACCTTGGCAGTAGGTACCCCATTGGGAGCCCGATTATTTAAGACAGAAGTTACACAAACCTTAGGAACATAATATAGGTTTTAAAGGACAGAAACTATGTAATTTTAGACAACTTACAACAATGTTAACTCAGTATTAAAAATTAGTGTTTTGGGGCTGGGGATTTAGCTCAGTGGCATAAGAACCTGCCTTGCAAGCAGGCGGTCATGAGTTTGATACCCAGTACCAATTAAAAGAAAAAAGTTAGTGTTTTGCCTCATGAAATACATTTCTTTCCTTCCCAAATACAACAACCTACCAACTCGAAAGAAAATTATTTACACAATTTCAATCTTAAAGATTTGAATGTTACTTGCAGTTGTTTTGTGAGGGAATCCTAAATTTTATATTTATGTTTCATTTCCATGTCTATGTTTTTCAAAAGTAATAAACTACTTTGTTTACAACATAGGTGTTATGTTTCTTGTTACTTCTCTGTTTACATAACAGTATAGTTCTCCAGCATGTAAAGGTTTTGTGTCATTCTTGTTGGGTTTGAAAGCATTCTCGAAGAAACTTTAAAACTGACGTGATCCAGGCCACTGGATACTTAACTAATGTATTTCACTCCTTCATCTGAGCATAACGCAGATAGATAGTGTATCTCAGAGATGAAACCACATAAGAAGATACTTGAGAAACCACTGATTAAAATGTATTAGTTGAGGGCCAGGTGTTTAGCTCAGCAGTGTAATTGCCTGCTTCGCAAATGCAAAGTCTTGAGTTTGCTCCCTGTTACAAAAAATTTTTTAATTTATTTTAAAAAATACAAAGTATATTACTTGGAATAAAATGGAACAATAGGTTTGTCTATGAAAAGAAAGATTTTAAAAATACTGCAGTGGTGGTGCACTCTATAATCCCAGAACTCAGGAGGCTGAATTAGACACATTGTTGCAAGTTTCAGACCACCTGGGCTACAAAATGAACTAAAGACCAGCCTGAACTACACAGCAAGACCTTGTCTCAATAACACACACACAAAAAAAAAAAAGATCAAGTAGAAGATTTAATTAATTAATTCTTCCCAACTTGCAACTCAGTTTTTAAAAGCACAAAGACAGTGAACCACACCACACCACCATGGAGCACAGCTTCTGCACCAACATTCCCCAAGGGACATCTGGGATGCTAGGAACAACTGGGAAGCCCCAGGATGACCTAGGCTCGTGCTGGGCCCACCCTTCTACAAGAACACCTGCCTGGGCTGCCCAGGAAGTCCCACCTAGGACTGCCACCATTGGGCCCACCACTCATTGGCAACACCTGGGACACCCTGGAAAACGATCCACCTCATACTGCCACCAAGGAACACCAGGGACACCCCAGCACTCCTGGCTTGCTTGGGACTGCTGCCGCTGGGCCCGCCCCTCCACAGAACACCTGGGACACCAGTGGCATGACTTAGGACTACCATGGTGGGCTGTTCTTTGGGGAATCCACCCAACACCTGGACCTAGCTGGTACTTCATTTGGTCTTTGGATTCAACCCCTTCTTCCAGAACTTGGACTACAGTGAATTACTGTGCTGGCTGGGTGGGAGACTATGGAACCCCTCACCCAAACAGAAGACCTCAGCAGGCTACAGTCAGTGTGGTAAGTTTGCCCCTAAAATACAGGTCTGCCAAGGGTAAATAGGAGCAGAAGTGAAACTCCTTCCAATTGGTAAGACCTTGATGAACCTGGCAAGAGAGTGGGTAATCCCCTCCTCCACACAGAGAACATCAGACAGGTTGAGGAGTGTGCCACTAAGGCCTCCCCATCTTGGAGAAAATTAAAAGAGCTTATGAGACCCCGCTGACACATTATGGCCTCAGCTGACACAAACACTATGGACAGGGAGAGCTGGTGACCTGCAACAACCTGAAGACATAGCAACCGCAGGAACGAAGAGTTAACCTACATCGATACTTTTTGGTTGTTTAGTCCAGAAAGAATATAGGACTCACCCAACAGACGCTGAAGGAGGAATTCAGGTGACTGGCTCTCCTCTTCACTGTGATACCCAGAAACTGGTCAAACATCAACCACACAGTAGGACGCTAAAATTACTACTACCGATGGTTCAGACTGTTGGGATTGAAAGACCAAATATTTACCCAAAATGTGAAAATGACAAAATGAAGAGGAAAAATGCTATCTCCAACATCTAGTCCATCAGGAGCAAGTACATGTGACCATGAAATAGAGGACTTTAAAAGTCACACACCGGGAATCTCTGAAAAGAGAGCAAATGAAGTAAAGAAAAAAATCCATGAAACTATAGAAGAAATCAAATTAGAAATAATGTCTTGTGTAAAGACAGAAATAACAGTCTTGGTAAATAAATTGCTCATCATAGCTAAAGAAAAAATAGATTAAAAACACAGGAGCATGGGAAATTGATTGAAACTTTAAAGGAACAATGCAAAAAACAAGTAAAATCTGTGAAACAAATTTAAAGAGATATCCAAGTAACAAAAAAATTCTATTGAAAGCAAACAAAACTGTTTAAATGAAGATGAGGATAGAATTTCAGACCTAGAAAACAGGATCACAAATAGTGATCATACAAGGGTAGAATGTATAAAAACAAAAAGCAGCATGAAATGACAATCGAGCAGCTTCAACATGATGTCAAGAGAAACAATATAAAACTAATAGGCATCAGTGAAGATGCAGGAGTCAATGCAAATGACATAACTAAAATATTCACAGAAGTAATGGCAGGAAATTTCCCACACAAAGGGAAAAATATGATATCCAAATAAGTGAGGGATACAGAATGTCAAACAGTCACAACCAACATAAATCTATATCCAGACATAGAATAATTAAGATCCAAGATATACAGCATAAAAACAGAATACTAAAAGCTATTAGAGAAAAGACACAACTCACCTATCAAGGAAAATCTATTAGGATCACGGCAGACTTTTCAGCACAAACCTTCAACTTAATAAGACCTTGGAGTGAAGTATTTCAAGCACTAAAAAAAACAACTTTCAACCCAGACTGATGTACCCAGAAAAACTGTCCTTCACACCTAGTGCTAAAACAAGATACTTCTGTGACAAAGAACAACTGATGAAACTGATGTCCACAAAACCAACCCTAGAAAGAGTACTGAAAGACATACTAGATAGAGATAAAAATGACCAAAATCTCAAGAACAACAACAGAAAGAAACCACCAGACTGGACAAGATATGCAAATGGAAAATAAATATATGAAGAAATGCTCACCATCACTGGTCATTTGAAAAATGCAAATTAAAACAGCACTGAGATTTCATCTCACCCTGGAAATAATGGCTGCCATCAAGAAAACAAATGATACCAAATGTTGGCAAGGATGTGGGAAAAAAGGGACAATTCTCCACTATTAATGGGGGTGAAGTCTGGTGCAACCACTTTGGAAATCAGTATGGAGGTTCCTCAAAAAACTAGGATTGGAAGTGCCATTCAATCCAGCTATTCCCCTGCTGGGATTTT